GGACCTCGTTGGCCGACGGTCTCAGTGTTCATGAACAGACTTTCACGGCAAACTGAAATTGAACAAGCATCACCATATTTCATCCTTCCAAGCAATCCGACTTGTAAATCGTTGTCCACTCCCTCGAGCGACAGCGAGATACAGTTTTATAGAGAACTCGAAACGGTATTGATTTATCAGCCTCGGACACATGGAAGGCGGATGACCCCATCGATGTACGAATTTGAAACCTCTGGATTTTGAGTCTGATTCGACGTTTCACCGACAAGCGGCCCCAGTTTCTTAAGAGATAGCATTTTGATTTGTGCATATACAATAGCCAAACCTCTATCACATTCCACTTTGGTAGCTTTTGAACTTTGTGGCTTTTGTCTTCCCTCTTTACTGTAGAATTGTTTTCTGTGGCGTTAGAGTAGTTCTAGTTTCTTTTTTCGTTCATTTTTTCAGTCCTAGAATTTGGGGCTGTTGTCAGTGATACATGGATGGGAAACATCAAAAGGTTGTTTCAAGCAAATCGCAAATCGTAGCACTGCCATTTGTATAGCAAACTCGATGCCATGAAAATAACCAGTGATAACATGTTATACAACTCAGTACAGTTTAAGTTTGGTCTGAAAAGTCAGTGGGGTAACATTTTTTGGATAAATTATGCGTTTCTCCCGTTCATGATATTCCCAAAACATGCTATGGTTTTCCCTGTAAAAAGCCTTGCGTTATATTCATTATTATGATGCTTATTTAAGTATGTTTATATTTATTAGCATATATGCAAGAAGATAAACGCATAATGTAATCGATACAATTATTCTTGATGGTCATGGTTTCCAGATCCCTGGTTCAAGGACAATGAAAAGTTCTTTATTCACCTAAGTTTTTTATTAAGGACGCAAGCCTTGTATATGTACAGTTTTGTGCTCTAACCAGCGTTTGTTAGAACTATTATAACTTATTCATAATGACCGTCCGCCCTGTTCAGTCCACTGTTGGATGAAAGCCTCTCCAAGACTTCGAGATTGACTTCTCCCTTCTGTCATTTTCATTCATCTTGATCCAATGAATTTATTCAGCTCTTCTTGACATCGACCATAAGGTTCCTACGGGTTGTTTATTCCCTCTTGGAACCCAGTGTTGTATCTCCCTGATACGGCGATGGTCGATTTTCCTTGCAGCATGTCCGGTCCATTACCACTTTACCTTCTTCCCTCGGATAACTGCGCTGCAGACTCTTATTTGTGCTCATACCGATTCATTCGTCTTCATATCCTTTCTCTTTTTCCCCAGCGTACATCTTTCCATGCCGCGTCGTGTATTTTGCAGTTTGTGAATAGCTTTCAGGCTTAAAGTCGTCATTTCGTACTCCATATGTTAGCATTGGAAGCACATGCTGATAGAAAGCTTGCCGTTTCCAGCACAGTGGCAGTTTCCCTGATAAGAACATCTTCAGTCCTCCAAAAGTGCTCTTTGCCACTTTTATTTTTCTACCGATTTCACATGGCCGCTTTTCCATAGCTCAGATAGACATAGTTTTGTACTTCAAGCTGAAGTCTGTTGTCTTTAACAAGTCGCGCCTTCACGTATTTCTTAAACATGACCAGAGTGTTGTTCAGTTTCATTTTCTGTCTTACCTTCATACTGGTATCGTTTAGCTCTTGGATATCTCTTTTAAGTTCTTCTGTTGACCTTGAAGACAGGCATGTCGTCTGCGAGTAGTGCGGTGACTTAATTAGTGCCCATTTATATTCAACCAATGATTTTTCCAACGGAGTATCTTGAATACCTCTTCAAAGGTTGCTGTAAATATTTTTGCTAATGTTGCGTCTCGCTGTCGAACACCTTTTTTAATTTTGAACTTTTTGTGATTTCTTAAGTTTTGCACTAGCAGTTGCTTTTTATAAATCATATAGATGAGGCTTCTGTGTCTTTTCTCAATTCCCTGGCTCCTCAACGAATTCTGTACAGAATTAGATGGATGTAGACTGAATCGAAAGCATTCTCGAAATCGATGACCCAAGATAGAGAGGAGGCTGATATTCGTTGCTTGTTTGAATTACTTGTTATGTCACCTGAACGTGATCCAGCGTGTTAAACCCACCTAATTTTGCTTGCTCCTTGGACTGCGCTATGTCCAGTTTTCTTTAGGTCTATTCGTCAGTTCCTTCGTAAAGTTCTTCTGGATTATAGGTGACACTGACCAGGCGGCGGTTCTTCAAATCCTCTCTGTCTCCGTTTCTGTTGAGTGAAATTACCCAATAGTCCAATCGTCTGGAATTTGCAGTTCCTTTAGACAGTGCAATAACTAGCCTGCTGATATCTTGGTCAGTGCTTCATCTGTTAATTCTACGAGTTCCATTGCAATGCGATCTTTGCATGGAACTCTTCCTCGCTTTGACTGATTTATTGCATGTCACGCTTCTTTTAACGTCATGTCTGGAATTTCGTCAGCATCATTTGTATGTTGAGGCTTGTTTATCATCACCAAGAGCTTGTTATTATCTCCATTTTTCTACATTTTTTAAAGAAATTTTCTGCTCTCCTTAGCACCTCCTATCTGACCTTAATCGCAATCCCATCTAGTGATTTGAGAACTTAAATTTGTCGTTTCGTTAAAGTCGATTTTGGGTTCTATTTCTTTATGCTTTGATTGTTTTCGATAGTTTCCCTTACAGTCTGCAACGGAATACCAAGACGCCTTCTTTAATCGCTTTTTGACGATATCAGCGAAAATTGCAAAGAATCTGGATCCAATTCTCTTTTCTTCTCCAGGCACCATCTATCTATTCTTTAGTTGGACTGTTCTCCACTGAAAATATTCTCAAGATGTCGCATACACTAGTTGATGTATTATACATGAACACTTCAGCACTTATTCCTTTGCAGTTTTGATCCATGCAGCAGTGTTTCTTAAACATCATAACCTCAACAGCCCTGAATAAATGAATCATTTAGGAAACGCTATTTCTGTCGTGCCTATTTAAAGAGTCATTAATGCCTGTACTCCTGTTACAGACTTTTATCATCTCCGTTTGTAGATGAGTGGTTATAAGATTCATGATTTGGGGGCATCAAATACAGCAGATAATAAACAGTTTACTGTCAGCGCTTTTCGCTACATAGACCGTAGCATTATCAGGGCTGAACTGATTAAAAATGACTACTTGAAACATTAATTCCAGCAAGCGAACGATCTAAAATTTTCAATTGGCTTATCCTATATAATCGTAACGCTGTTATGCTGAATGAACCGAATGTTAACCAGCAGTCAAAGTATATTGTTCACATTAAAATTAATCAGATGTTTTATCATGTTGATCATACTTTGGGTATCAATTTTGTCAAGTCAAAACTGATACGCAAAGTTAGGTCAACATGATAAGAGATCCTATTCATCTTAATATGAATATTATTCTCGCCGATCCCAAGACCCGATGAAAAGGAAGGAGGGCTGGAGACCGTGGCAAAGTTTCTGTGTAATTTAGCCACCTGCCACTCATGATATTGACGCTCTCGCAAATTATACCGGCTCGGCCGTTGCACCGGTTACCAATGGCCGCGCAGGCTGTTGGGGGTCTGAGGCAGACGGCGAAAAGTCGACGATCAGAGCCTGTTCACCGCATTGTGGCAGCAAGAAGTACAGCAGCATAACAATGGCTGCTGACGGTCGACGAAACGACGGCGAACATACCAATAAGCAGCGCAGTCGCTACCCGTTCTGAATGAAGGAGGCAGACAGAGCGATGCCGTTATAGCACGTCAGAAAAGGCTCCACGTGAATGACACCGCCAGTTGGCGCTTATGGTCATAAATTGGAATATATCCTCAATCAGACGTGAAAAGCAGCTGATGATACCATAAAGTGCCAACTGCACATATTTCAACTCTTGTCCACGAAACTACGAGGCTCTGTAGCGCTGAACCTTTGGGAATAGACGCTATTCTACTCAGGCGTCCATATCACGACTCGCGCTCAGGCTGGGGTTGGTGTTCTCGTAGAACCGAACCCGGCTGATGAAATCATTATATGAAAGCCTATCAGCATAAAGCTGGAAATCTTCTGACTGAAACTACAACAGGCTATAAGCTTTGAAATTGTTACAGATCCATACGCCCAATTTGGAGGCAGAATGTGATACCTTCCTTAAGGAAGTGCAATGTGCTCTGTCCGAAGTGCCGAATACAGGGTCCCTCCACACTGCTATGCGATTTTACTGCACATGTCGGAGTAGACGCTAAAAAGTGGAACGATGTGATTAAAAAAACGCAACTATCGACCTCAGCAACAGCGTTGTGCAAACAACGGATTGCCAACTAGGAACACCTTCGAGCATCGAAGAGTGCAACGATACATCTGGTACCGGGAAGCTTGTGCACAGAAGTCGATGATCGATTTCATAATCGTCCCGTTTGACTTATGACGCTCAGTATTGGATATTCGCGTTAAGAGAGGCGCAGAGCTATCAACCGATCACCACCTTCTTGGCGGCACGCTGCGTTGTAAGAAATGGAGTACCATACAAAGATATGGTGGCAAAACAACCAAAGAGTCAAATGGGAATGATTATACTTGGTAGAAACTAGAGCGAAATTAGCAAACAACATCGCACGACGGTTTGAGCAGATCCCAGTGAGGACAACTGATGTTGAAACCGAGTGG